ATAAATTATAATGTCATTTTCCACCGCACAAAAAGAAGTTTGAGTATATAAGATTTTGTGAACAAGGCTTGGTATTAATTGTGGAGGCTTTTGTACTTATTCTTTCTATTTTCACGACTTCTTAAATGAATGAATGATCCCGAAGGGTTTACTAAGTTATGCGGCTGTATACAATAGAGGCACATGAGAGACGCCCACATTTTATCATATCGGTTGATTCGAAAGTCATTTTCTACGCTGATAGAAGCTTGTCTGCCTGTCGGTCGGTTTTGTATATTCTGTTCACCATACAAGTCGCAATTTTTGGGATATTTTGCTGAAATTCGGTGCACCCACGTGTTTCATCACAAGGACGAAAATAGTCAAAGTCCCATACGATCCTTTATTTTGAAAAATTTGTATATATATAAAATATTTTAAACCCAAGGGGTGTAGGGTATTTGAGAATGGGCGGTAGCTTATTATAGTACTTTTACTTGCTTTTATTTTTTATATTTAATCAGCCACTCATCTCTCCGGTGCTTGTAGATAAAGGAGAAAGAAAGAAGGAAATAGTGTGCCCCAGTTGAAAATGAAAACAATTACAAAAACGGAAGAAGACTGCTGCAAGTAGGTTGTTCTAAAGACGGCCGGTGTCGTTAAAGACAGCGAAGTGGCGGTGTACGAGTGTATGATAACCAAGAAGAGTGGTCGGTGGAAAAAACTCTTTTATTTCTGTAGAACACTCTGTAGATGTCAACGTTCATGCTCAATAGTGTTGTCGGTTGGCAGCATTCTCGTTGGTGTACAGTCAACTGCAAGGCAAGGGAAAGGAGAATGTTGAGAAAGCAGAGTGGTCACTTTAGAAAGGTTGACTGACGGACTCTTATGTTTTTAGAGCACCTGCTATGGGAAGCCCACATCACATAAGTATAGAATAACTCACATTACGCCGAATCTGAGTTGACGGTGTCGGTGGGCACGCTTTTCTCAGTATATACGCTTCCGAGAATAACGAAGGCTTCGTTTTTTTATGTAACTAACCACTGGGTAGATATCCCCTATGGGCATATGGGCATAAAGTTGAAGAAGGAAAGAAGTGAGTAATGTTTGTGTACCAAAGGTGGGCAGTGTTGTTAAAGGACGCTGAAAAGGGATAACGTGTTCTGCGGTACGAGTGGAGGAGAAGATTATGGCTCTCTAGTTTTGATGCTGATGGAGAGAAAATATAGACCGTCTTCAGAGACACAACAAATTTTTTTGCTATTTTTAAGGTTATGTTATTGGGCTTTTGCCTTCTCTAGATGTTCTAAGGTCAGTGGAAACGTTAAGGTACTACCACTAATGTAAGAGGCTACGATGCTTTTTTAGCTATAAGCGAAAGTGTTTACTATTATGCAAATTTATCACTTATGCGTTTGCGAAAGCAATTTGTTGCATATTTTCCACTACGTCTTGGATACATATGATAGCATAGACTGGCGAGTAGCACATCAAGACTTACGGTAACGGAAATTTTTATGTTAATGGTTTCTTTCACGAGCATGACATTGAATTATAACCACAAAAGTTGACTTTCATTAAAATGATGGCTATTTTTTATCGTAAATCAGGCCAATGGGGGGCATTTTGCAAACAATGTGATAGCGAAAAACGTTAGCGAAAATGAATCTTTATATGCAGGTTTCAAATCGGCTTCTTACAGCAACTTTTGTCTTCCGAATTAATTGTCATTTTCTTTTTATTAAATTGGCACAGTTTAAAAATTTGTTTCTATTATTCGGTGTTTGCAAAAATTTCGATCAGTGACAAGATAAAGAAATGGAAGATACCAGTGTCCATAACGGCTGAATTCGATGGTTTTAACCTCTGTCTACATAAAATAATAATTTTCTTTTTAATATTCTTGATTTATTCAGCGTACGCCGACCCTAATCATGTAGCACTCAGAATTCTTCTTCTTCCAAATGCATTATTTCTGTTGTTTACGTTCAAAAGCTTATGGCGATGCTGCTCCATCCAACCCAATCCAATTGTCAGTTTTGGTTTCAACGTTTTAAAAGCGATGACACGAATTTGCTGAAAGTGCTATGTTTTGGCCAATTGTTACAAGACTTGTCCAGAACGCATAAATGAGGATCGCTGTCAACATGACATCGCCATGTGGCCAGAAATATTGCGAAATGTTGTAGAAAACGATGGAAACTATTTTGATTAACGTATATTGTACCAATTTTCCACAATAGAGGCCTTTTCCATGTGAAAAACAGATCAACATTTTTGCAAACGCCTAATATGTCAGATTTGTGGATAGGGAGCTTCATAACTTGTGCAATCCATTAGTCGTTTGCTAATATTTAAAGTGACCTAAAGACTATTGATCAATTGTATGTGAATGTATGACGTACGTACGAAATATTTATTTTATAGTTCGAAATATGCTATAAGCTGTACATACGTGCTTTGAAATCCAACTAAAGAACTTTGACCTTAAAGTAGATTAGAATGACTTTGTTGAAAAAAAGAGCAAGCAAACCTAGCATTAACAATAATTGCAGAGTTGCAATAAAACTCAAATAAATTCTTTATGACTTGATGTTTTACAGTGCTGAACTAATATTTTATGATTAATCAATGAGTCATTAACAACCCTTAAGTAAAATTTAAATATATACCTCTTTTATATTAAATACGATTGTTATGCAGTATATAGCTAAAGTAAAACGAAAAAAGAATAAAAATTATAGAGAATAGAAAATCTCATAAAGGGAAGTTTGCAAAGGTCAGAAAGCAAATTTCTAGTTTGTGCTTAAGAGCATTTTTGCTCCCTTCATTTAATAACAAGGTTAAAGGCCGCGAGAAGTCTTTGAAAGGTATTGTCAAATTTGACTCCTGGAAATACTAGAAGTCCAGATTACTTGGTTCTGCTTTTTTCTTCTTCAATTTGCCATTATTTGAAAGAAACTCACGTTTACTTTAAGAGGTATTTGCCTTAGACATTTGAAGTTACAGCAATAACCTTAATCTTCTTGCTTGGTCATTGTTTTCCTAACGAATTCCGTACAAATTTCGGATAGTTAGTGACAAAGTTAAGGTTTGAAAACATGCGAAAAAGCACAACCATCTGATCAGCTACTTCTTCTCTCTGAGGTACTTGAGATATGATAGTATACGAGTTAGCAATTACTTTCCTCCATCCAGGTTACGTCCCCTGAGTCATTGTTGTCATTTATGAAAAAAAAAAATCACCGAGTCTCTCAAGTATAGTCGAAACTATGATTGAATACCTTGACCCACAAAAGTCACAGTCACGTTATTCTTAATACTATCTTTGTGCTCAAAAGCTTGCTTATCCAAAAGGACGTTCGAGATCTATGCGAGAGCAACGTCTTCTGCTTTCAACCAATTTGATAACAGATCAAAATGAAATATTCCGGAATGATCTCATGATAGGAAAAAGCGTAAATAACGAATCCTAGAGGAAGGACTAGAACCTTTTATTTCAGTATTTAACTTCCCACATGACTTCATCAATTCCATATAGAGACGATTTAAGACAAAAGGAATTTGTTTAATTTATGCTTTAGTTTACATTGTAATTGCAACCTTGTGGTTAATGTGCCAATTTATATATTCTACACATACACGCATAAAAGGCAAGAATACACCAAGCACAAGCACACGCACATAAACGCACTAACCCATCACATCTGAAGTGACTTGGATTGTCGTCGCATTTTTTTTTTCTTTTTGTCTCATTGTGCTTTGACAAAACAACCTTGGAGTAAATTTGTTCTTGCTTTCCTTCTCTTCATTTATTTCTTTCTACCTTCTCAACTGCAATGTCTTTTATTCTTATTATTTGCAGGGAAAGAATATGAAAGGGAAATGAGAATAAAAAAAACATCACAAATTTTTACGATACGTTTTAAAGGATTTTTTTGCAAAAAATAAAAACATATGACATTTTTTTTTCTCGGCTCTTAATGTAAACTCAAAATTTCACAAAATGCTTTTATCTCAAAGCGTGTATACACAAATATGCACTGCATTTACTAAAATTCATTTTTTCTTTTTGGACCTTGTTGTTGTTCTGAAATAGATTTGAAAAAAAAAAAAAAAAAACATACAAGATACTTTTCTTCTTCTTCCGTTATTCAGCAAATTAACAAGCGAAAATTCGCTGGGATGCGTAAAAAAAGCCCAATGTGTACACAAAGCTCTTTGTTTGGGCCTGAGTAAAGTTAGATTTGGTTAGATTTGGTATATGATGTTATTATTTATTTATTTCGATAATTATTTGATTAAAGATTTTTTTTTTTGAATTTTCATATTATACGTCCGCCACTTTATTTTTTTTATAGTTTTTATTAAAATATACATATATACAAAATCTTTCTTATAGAGGCATAACATTTGCTATCAGTTCCAAGTTTAGTGTGTGTAATGTGTAGAATTCATGCCACCAAGAACTAGGCGAAGACATTTCCATTTGATTCTGCATAATTTCAGCAGGTCCTTCTTTGGGATGTCCAATATCAGTGAACACAGTGATTAAGCCAGTGATACGGTTTAATCAGGCAAGGAGGGTCAGAGCCCTAAGAAATACCACAAATTGATTTCAATACATTAATGAGTTTAAAACATTGTTTGGCAGTTTTATCAATATGAGCTCCTAGGGAAAGTTTCGAGTGTAGGGCAAAGTCTGAAAAGTCTTCTCGTCCTTTTGACTGAAAGTGTGAGTTGATATGATCCAAGACGAGAGGAAATAATGTCGAGGGCAGATTACAAATGAACAAAAAGGACAAGATCGTCACCATAGCCCAGCACTGAGATGTTGTCAGGAAGGGAACTGGACATTTTGTTAATATATAGATCCCTGAGGAACACCTGTGAAACGTCTTCTTTCTACAACAACATCATGACTGTTAATTAACACGTTCTTATAGGGAAAGAGTTTATATAACAAATTATTAAGAATTAGGCAGGGAGATTCAAGGAGAGGACAGATTTTAAGATACTTTTCAGTTTCTGCAATATGTGTTAACGTATTTACAAACGCATACATTTTAGTTTCTTCTATCGTTGTTGTTATTATTGTAATTTGCACCACAAACGTATTTACATACTCGTAAGCAACCTTCCACCACCCCTTTCATTAAACAAAGTGATGACGTGATGACGAGTATTTTTTCTACATATATATATCAATATATGTACTCTAGCCAGCCAGACACAACAATCACTTTAGCAATTTCTTCCTGAATTTTTCCTTAAAAGGCTCAGCCATTCATTTATTATAGCCTGATATTTTTTTTGTTAAAATTTATTTTATGCCTTGGAAAAAAATATAATTTTTCTTTTGAATCAATTTTTCTTTCTTTTTTTTCACTTCTTAATCAGTTAAATCACAAACAAACACGACAAACGCACTCGATTTAATAACAAACAATTCTGACAATTCTGACAATTCGACTAATACAACACTTGGAGCACTTCTTGCGTTACATTGAAATTGACTGAAAAATGCTTCAAACGCTCTCGCAATTCTCGCAGCAGTAAGAAATCAAATTATAAAAAACTATAGATATATAGTTCGTCCAGTTCGTCGACTTCAAGAAAGCGAGAAAGAGACAACTTAATACTATGTATGAATTATTACATTGCGTCTGCATAAGCTACAAAAACAACTGAGACAACTGAACAGAGTTTGCATAGGCAATAAAGTTAACGTTTTTATCTATTAATAATTTCTTCTTTAGTAATTTATTATAGAAAAGAATTGATCTTTTTCTTCTGTTCAGCAAATGAACAACCGAAAATTCGCTATGTGTAAAATGTGTAAAAAGACCCAATGTAAACACAAAATTCTTTGTTTGAGCCTTAATAAAGTTAGGGTTAGTTTTGGTAAAATAATTATTATTCTTTATTTATTTTATTATTTCTTTGTATTTCGTAATAAAACTGTATTCAATTAACCTTTTGTCCGCCACTTTATCTTTTTTTTTATAAATTTTATTAAATTTTGCATACTACTCACCCTTCATAAGGTAAATTTCGTACTATAAAAAGTTATGCAGCGTCTGAGTACAAAGTGTCACTGATAAGTTCGAGAGTAAAAGAAAGTGTAAAAGAGAGTAGGTTCATAATTTGATTGTAAACGTTTGTACATCTTGATGACGTGATTAAAAAAAAAAAGATTACGATGTCAAGATTACATTTGCCAAGTGTGGAATGGCGAATAGAAATGGCAATATTCGGACAGAAAAATAGGACATGGTTAGGAGATGGTAAGACACCAAATGCACACAAAGAGCTATTCACTAGGCTAAGTTTGAAGAGACGAGCATTAGTTATATTAGCAACAATAACTAAAAGAGCTCAAACCCATTTTTCTTCATGACTTTCAGCTGCAATAGCAGCTTCCTACCCGTGTTTCTGCTTTAGTTCCAACTTTATCGAACTTTAGTTACTATAGGAGTTTATTTATTAATTTGGATTAGTTTAATTTAATTTCCAGGATTACTAGCTAATTATAAACTTGGTTTAAAAAAAAAATTGCCTTATCGACTTTACAGTTCGACTTAGGGTTAGTTAAGTTAGGGTTAAGGTTTAATTAATTAGGTTTAATAAGAAAAATTTTCTCTATATATATATGTACAATTGGCTTTTTTCATCTATTAACGCAAGCATTATTTAAGGCTTTATTATTTATATGTGCCGGTGCTTTTCTATATTAGTATTATTACTCTAATAATTAATATTCCTAACTTTATTCGTTTGTATTATTGAAGGTTTGGTAGGCTATATTATTTCTAATGTAACTTTATTTTCCAACAAGTAATAGTGTATGTTCCTATATAAGCTGTCAGTATTTTTAGGATCCGTTTGATTTATATCTTACAATATATTAAAATCGTATATTTTATTTATTAATTCGATTTGATGTAGTAACATATGGAAAATATATAAAGAGAAAAATAATTTGTTTACAAAAAAAAAAAAACAATAGTGATAAAAAATATATGAAAAGAAAATATTTTACTCTCAGCAAAATCAAAAACATTTTTCATAAAAAATAAATAGGAAAGTAAATTTTATTCTCAGAAAGTAAATTTTACCAGCAATTTTCAATTTAAATAATTGTTTAAATGTGTTTATTTTTTATTTCCATTTTGAAAAAAGAGATACCCAGTATTATATTTCATTTATCATTATAAGATGCCGCTGAAGTGTTAATATCAAACAGAAGCGAGCAACATTAAGAAGATAAAGCAGTGTTTTTAAGTTTTGCGTATCTAACACAAGAGGGCAGCAGTAATTTGGTGCATAGTATAAATAAGGTAAGCAAGAATAATCATTTTTGAAAGCCTACAACTTTTTGGTATATTTTTTTTTTACATTAAAAGGGACGCAAAAGACTCTAAAGAAGGAGAAAGAATATAAGTTGTATTATATATAAGTTGAAATGGAAAAATTACATATCTTCAACTTTTTCAACTTTTGACTGCGTTTTTATTGGATGTTTGCTGAATGAAGTGCCATCTTTTAAAGAAAACATATGAAATTATTTACATATCAAAGAGAGGTATAGCGAATTCAAAAGAAAACATATGAAATCAAAAATAAAATATTTGTGGATGAGTTTTTATTGGGCCGCGTTACATAGTTTAACATCTCTGCTTTTACTCTTTAACATATTGTGTTTGAATTTTATGAACATAAATAAATTATAATAAATATATAATGGAAGAGATACAGCATAAAGGACTTGAAATCGTTTTTTGATGTAATGTAATATTTGTATGTTTGTTAACTTATTAAATAATTTATTGAGTTTAAATTATCACATATTTCATAGTTTTCAAAAATTCTCCTAATCAAACTCGTCGCTTGTGCATGCATATATATACACCATTATTGCTGTGTATAAAGCCATCACCGTATTTATTTTTCAATTGGCCATTTACATATTCCTTAGCCTGATCCAAAATTGTATTCATATAGCCATAAAAACAAGATGAAACATTTTATTAAATAAAATAAATTCATTAAAAATGGCACGCGGGATATTTATTTGAACAAACTTAGGTAATCTCTATCGTAATCTAATCGATATCACTCTTTAGTGCCGGACGGCTATGGATCTGGTTGGAAAATTGGAGTAAAGCTTCTTTGCGAGATATATTTAGTAAATTTTGTGGAAACTTTGGTTTTATATTCTTGTTTATTTTATAAATTTATAAGAAATAAAAGCAAATCTCTCAACGTTGGAAAATTGTGCAGCGTAGCTAAAAAGATATTAATTTTTATTTCTCTGTGAAAATAATATATGTACAAAACGCATAGTGAAGAAGTAACCCGCCAAATCCCGCCAGCATTTGACTTCGACGGTAACGACGACAGTTTTTCTTTTACAGAAATTCCATAAAGACTTTAGTTAAAATTCAAAGCCAAACACGAAGCAGCACTCGGAACACCACTAAACTGGAAAAAATGGAACATTTGATTTGGATCAAAGTCAGCTGCAAAAGAATTAAAAAAAAAAAAAATAGAAAAAACCCATTTACAAATAACCAAAAAGCACACACAATATAAATAAACAAAAGCTTCGCTCAAATTTAAATTAAAATTCGACGACTGAAACGTGCTTAATAATCATAAGGTTCGCAAAAATAAAGAAAATAGATTTATTTAATTAATAATAAATTTAATATTTTAAAACTCATAATTGTAAGAATATAGGTTACGTTGCACGCATAAAGCATTTTAATGGTTATTTGCACAGTTCTCTTCGGCATCCATTTTTCGTTTATATTTCAGAATCGAATGTTTTTTATTAAGCGCACTATAATTGATTACACTGGTAAAGTTGTTGACTTTGGCATAATTCATCAATTTTTCTTCGAACAATTTAATGTCTTCATTTCGCGCCGTAGTCATTAACTTGGTTTCGAGAATTAGCAGACATTTCTTTTTTAGCACTTTTATGAAAGAGTCCTTGAGGAAGGCAAAGTAATTATAACCAACAAAAGCAACATCGAAATGGTTGCTCCAAAATTCGTCACCATTCCGTAATTTGAATACGTCTTCTGAGGAAAGGAAACGTATATTAATGCCTTCTATATGAATCCATGGTTTATCATAATCATGCATAGCATCTATATCACATTCATTGTATAGCAACGTTTTGCCCATAAGAAGCTTAACCGAACCGTATCTACGAGAATCTTTGAGGTTATGTTCGTAGGGCGTCTCGGTGCTTAATTCATGAAATAATTCAAGTAAATTGCGTTCAGTAACATCAGTCGAACGATAGTCATTTTGACCATGGGCCGACTGCAATAGCCGCTCGTCGGCACTCAGTAATCCAAACGCTGAAAATGGACCGGTTTGCATATCGCCAACATATCCCCGATGTATATACTTATCACCATTGCGTACAAGACCAACCGCAAGGGTTTTATTCGGTTTACTGTATTCGTATTCGGGATATGTAAAGGCTATGCCGGTTTCCCGCCAATGTCGGTATTCCTAGCGGAAAATACGAAAGCTTATGAAAAGTATACAAAAATATTGCAGAGGAATTCATATTTTAAACTTCACCACCTCCTTCTAAATATGAATCGGGATAGAGCAGTATCTATACACTATTATAAAGCACCTTTCGTTATTTCCTACCTGTGAGCAAATCTGCTGGCCTTCGCGATCTTTAAGAACCATATTCAAGTCCCAATCAAACGCTCCGTCGCGGTGATCATAGCGCACACCCATTAATTTTCTAAGTCTTGCAGCCCAGTATTCTTGAATGTGAAAAATGTGCCCCTCCTTCGGGAGCCAAAAGCGGAATGCGTTCTCCAGACCATCGCGTTCTCTATACTTAAGGTTCTCGAAATTTAAAAATGGTGTCATCCTCTCACGGCACTCATCATCCGTAAGCATTTTAAATAAACTCTTAGCTTTGCCAACAAGGTATTGATAAGATGACGCCCTTAACAGTGAGTTGCCATAGACGTCCATAAAGAGATGAACTTTACCACGCAGATTCATCGATTCAGGACTTTCCAAGGCGATGCCTAATAACGCTATATGGCGTGCTATAGTTTCGATACAACCATCAACCACGTAAAAGTTAATAATAGGTGTTGTCCCCTTAGCTTTATGGGCGTACATTTTTGCCATTGTTTTTATAACATGTCGCGGATCATTGGAACCAAATAAAAGAATATTGATTTGCACAATTTTCGGTTCCTCGTTTGGTTTTTCTTCTTCACATGATTCCTCAGACCTTTTTGACATATTTAAATATTCTTCAAAGAGATCCAAAGCAGCGCTTAAGCCCCAAAACATTGCGACTGATTTTCATTTATTCTTTGTAAGCTAAATTAAAATAAAATAAAAATTTTTCTTCTTTCAATTTGTTTAGGCTTTTCGTTATTAAGTTACTCGAAAATCAATAAACAACTAAGACTTTTGATCACTATGGTTTCTTTTGATTGAGTTAAAAATTTTTTCCATTTATTTGCTGCCAGCAGGTTATGATTTTGTCGTTCGCTTAGTGCTGCGTTCATTTAAAAGCAGTTAGGTCTATGAAAGGTCACATTTCTTTGGGTAAACGTTGTTACTGTTAAAACTGAGGAAGGAAGTTTCAGAGACCCGAAAATGTATGTATTGTCTGTTGTCAGCGCCAACTTCTGAATCAATTTAAGAATGTCCGTCTGTCCGTCTGTCCGTCTGTGTACTGGCTGTTATACTCATTATCCTGTCCGTAAGAACGAAGCTGCCGGCTTCATATTTGGCAGGAACATTGGAAGTTTTTCGCGCAAGTTGGTATTAAAAATGGACCAAATCGGTCGAAGGGCACGCCTACAGTACTGCGTCCAATGGAGCTATCTCTGTTTTTCAAAAGGAGTAAAAAACGTTATTCCTAAACTAAAGCAGACAAAATTTGAGCATATGCTCTATGAGCGATGCTCCAGTATTTCTCTAAAAATGGAAAAAATCGGCCACGCCTACTTAATTTTATAGTGAGTTAGAGTTTCATTTCTTTTTCAAAACCATTACAATGCACAGAAGCAAGCTTCAAAAGTCCCATCAAGTATATAATTTCTTGACCACTATCAAAATCAGAATGCACCTAAGCTTGTTCGTCCATCTGTCCGTCTGCGCGACTTTGTATTATCTATGGTAGAAGGTACCGCGAGAAGTATCTGAAGCCCTTTCAAATCCAGTAGCCTTTGGCGGCGACATAGATGACGAACACTTGTAACGTGTATTATATGAATTAGAAGAGCAGGAGAACTTTAATAAAGATATTATTGGAATACCCGAACCAGCCGCGATGTTATCCATTGTACCCCGCTACTGGGGTATCCAAGAAAGCCAAAGAAAAGAAAAAAAGCGGCAAACACTGCAAATGCAACAACCGCTACAGCTACAGGTGGAGGTAACTGAAAACAATTTTACTTACGTCTTAATAAATTTTTAAACTTTTACGCTTTTGCAGGCGATGCGGATGACGCATGTTATGAAGGAGCCGCTCTCTTGGGCAGAATAAATTACTTTAAGTGAATATGTACAGTATAGAAAGGTTTATGCCGTTGCAGCGCTTTTTATAGAAAAAAAGCAAAAATTCTTTTACATTGGAATTACTTTTTACGTTTTCTTTTCAATTGATTCCACTGATAACATTTACATTTTATTCTTATTTTAATCTTATGTGCTTAGATTGTAAAGAAATTTTTCCGCAAAAAAGTTATTAAACTCTTACTATGTGAACATTTTTTTTTAAATTTTTCGATCGAACTTGGGCCTTGCAGCACGAAATGACATTTTGCGCTATTTTTGAATTGTCAACGTGCAACGACCATTGCGGTTACATTTGAGAAGCAAAACCCAAGAACTTTTCGAATACATCTCATACGTTCAGTGGCTGGATAGTCGACTTTCATCGTAGTTTTTTAAGCAAAACTATTCTCGGTGATCCGTGTCACTATTATAAGTGTAAGTGCGTAAACCTTTGTCGTATTTGGACATCCGAAAACTCAATAGAAAGAGTCGAGTAACATTTGCTCTCACGATCCTTATGAGTAACCGAATTGATAAGACTCACGACTAACAAGTCAGTGTCCACAGGTGGAAATCTCGTGTACGTTAGAGTTTACTTTGTCGAATAAACTCTGCACCCACAATACGTATGCATAACCGGATCGGTAAGAATGACTATTAACAAATCAGCGTCCACGGCTTTAAGTTTGAAGTACGCTAGAGTTTTCTTTGGCGAAAGTAAGTGTTCAGTCGGTGAAGGTGAATTACACATTCGCTGAGAAGGCACTCAGCCTCCGCAATTCAAATAATGACGAGCATACCAGACATCGTCGAACTCGAATGTTTCAGAACTTTCCAGGAAGCTGGCTATAAGGAATATTTACACCATATTTCAAGGCAATACTTGCTACGGGCTGTTAGGCACAGTTCTCTGGATTATTGCACTTCTAAATATAAAGCTCTCTTCGTCGCTGGAGTTTTAATTGATCTATGTAAAAGCATACATGGAATTTTCGACCAGCCTTTGCTGCCAACATTATAGTTCTTAATCTGTTGTGGCCATGATTGCAAGGTTCTGATGTTTCTTAAGTAGTGTAGCAGAACTCTGTTTTTTATGTTAAGCGTTGCGATCTTGACTCATCCAAAATTGAAAGAAAGTCCATTGGCAGATAGACAATCAGCTAGACAGAGGACGAAGGTTAAATTGACTCGCAATTGTACGCCGATCAAGAATGTATATAATTTTTTGTTTTACATTTTCTAGACTTAAATTAAAAGTTAATGCGGAAGTGATTCTGATCGGCCAAGGAATAGTCCAATATTTGTATGTATAACGTATTGACTTGGGGAGGTGGGTATCAAAGTTTCGTCCTGAGTAACTTCTCTCTATTTTCGATCCATAAATCTTGCCGATTTTTTGGTTTTCCCAATGCATACTTCTAGTTGCTTTACCAGTCTTTGCAAAGACCAAAATATCACAGATGTTAATTATCTGGAAAAAAAAAACATTCTCTAAAAAACACCTTCTACAACTAACACTTGTTAGCCTTTCATGTCTTTTGAACGGAAGTAACCCTAATCAGAAATGTTTAACAAATTATTTCCATTTTCCCTTTCAACAAGGACTTTCTCCATAATTAAGATTATTTGAAGGGGGGAAAAAGGATTTTTACTTTCCTTTTTTTTTTGTCGTAAATGAAATTTGTGTGTAACACATGAAAAATTGAAATGTTTAGGCAAAAAAAAAAAAAGAAAAAGGAAATAAGCGATTAGCAGCGTTTTACACATAAAATAACAACTTTTGGTGAACAAAATTGATATAAAACAAATTTATATAAAAATGAGATCGCATCTTGGACGATTCCCACTTCAAGTGAATCTCGGTATAATAATTAATTTTGTAGGTAATTAAAAACAAAAAATTTAATATTAATTTTAAAATATTTTATTCAAAATATTGTTGATGGTTGGCCAATGGTGGTATCCTAGCGATTCCGTCTCTAAATCGACTAACATAAAGCTTCGTACATAGTATTTATATTCAATCAATGATTTTGACCAGCAGTTGTTTGAAAGTGAACAGAACAAGAAACGCTTCTCGTCAATAACCTTTCTTGGTACATCATTTAACATATTCTGCTGAGCAAAGTCTACGGAACTCCGGCATAATGTTGTCGCAATGTTATCAAGTAAGGCATAAAGCTAATTAAGCTTTCTTTAAAAATCTCTCCGAATTTAATTTTATATCTAATTTTAGATAAGTGTGTAGCTTAACAAGTAAATATAGTTAAACTTCTATGTCCATCCTCTGAGTAAGTAAAAGGATTTCTTCGTGGGAATGTCATTGGGTTGAGGGGAACTATTTCGATGACCTTTTTGGATATCTCTTATAAAAGCTAGACCGATATCTGCTTATAGTTTGTAAGTTATTGAAAAATCTTCAAACTGTTGACTCTTCTTTCAGATATGTGTCCTCTAGTAAGCCTGTTAGGCGGTTGATTGCGTCTATTTTAAGGTCTGATATATAAGCATCAGTCAAGAGGAGATGTAGATGCAGATTCTCAGCTTTTTTCTTACTCTT